AAAATACCCTAGACTCGTGCGTGCCCATGAGCCAGCTGCCTGTGGCCATCTCAGCCAGCCGGAAAGTCATAGAGGAGGCGGGGCTGCAGTCAACACTCGTGGGACACGTGGGGGACGGGGTGAGCCGGCAGGCCCAGACTCGATGGCGGGGAATTGAACGCACGGATAGTGACGGCTACTCCTTGGTTCGCGCTCCAGCAATTTTATTAGACTCAAATTCAACGTATTCTTCACATTATCTTGGGATCCACGCAACGAATGCATGCGTCCTTGACCCCTGTCTCCCCCCTCCCCCCACCCTCTGCCCCCAGAACTTCCACTTCATCCTGCTGATAGACCCTGATGACCCCTCGGAGGTGGCCAAGGCAGAGGACGCGGTTCGCCGCATGGTGCAGGTCGCATGGGACGCGGGGGGCACCTGCACCGGGGAGGTGAGCACGGGGAAGGGACACAGGGGGAAGGGTGTTTCGGCCGCGCTGCTTGAGAATTGGGGCACAGGCGGGCCGGGGATAGAGCCTGTGGCTTGAACCCAGCCTCTTTGTTGGCTCTGGTGGCTGTCCACCGCCGTTGCCCTCCTGGACGTCGCCTTCCTTATTGCAGCCCACCAGCGCTGTTAGTAAATCTGACCAATACCCTCTACACACGCACACTGCTAGCGCATTTGAGCTCCGCTGGCGCCTGAGGGCAGCCTACCCCTCCCCATACCCCCTTTGCCCCCTCCCCAGCACGGCATTGGCTATGGGAAGCTTAAGTACCTGAGGGAAGAGCACGGGGAGGCACCCCTGCAGGTGAGACACACGGCGGTGGGCAGGCACGGGGTCGAGGGGTCTGGCAGCTCACGCGTGCGCCCATGCGCTGGGGAGCACTCGTCACCTGGCGGTGCTGCTCACTGGATCATCCTTTTGCTCCGAGCGCCCAGCCCCTGAACTGCAACTGCCACTGACAGGCATAAAGTCTCTTACACCCCGGCACGCCTGCCTACAAGCACGCATCTCCAGCAAAGCCGTGCCCGGCCCCACCCTGTCACCTCCGCCGCTGAACCCCCGGCCCCGCCCCCCCAGATGATGGCGGCCATCAAGGCGGCGCTGGACCCCAACGGCATCCTCAACCCGGGGAAGCTGGGCAGTGATGCGGGGGACGCGGCCCTGTGGCAGGGGGACGACCACGTGCTGCGGCGGCGGGCAGGGGAGGCCTGAGCGCTCGTGCCCATGCGCTTGGCGGGCTGCCCGATGAGTTGTTTGACAGCAGTATGAGGGTTCAGGTTCTGTTGAATCGGGATGCTTGAGATCTGTTCTATGCTGTTGCCGCGTCGCTCCGCAAGTTTGCTACACAAGAATTGCACCACCCCCGTGGCTATGAGGGGGTCATGCTTGACCATGCACACAACTGCTGTCACAGGCCACGAGCGTCCCTTGACCGGCGCTCTCACACGTCACTCGTCAACAACGTCTCCAGCACCTTGCCATGCTTGCGCATGCCTTGCACTGCTGTCGCCAGCTCCCTCAACAATGATGCAAACCGAAGCCTTGGATGCATCACAATGCTCTGCACTGGCAGCAAACACTTGCTCGTCACAGACTGCTTGCAGCAGTGACGGCGCTTGTTTGACGCTGCGGATATTCTCTCACAGCAAGATTTCAACTGCCAAAGGCAAGGTTCCCCCGCCAACCTCCAGGGAGACGTCTCCTGCATCACACTGTTACACCTCCTCGTCCCTGGCCCCCTCCCACCACTCATCCGCCACAAACCCGAACTTGAGCCAGCCCTCCAGGGGGGCCCTGGCCCCGTAGCTGATGAGCAGCTCCTCCCCCGCGGCCAGCGGCGCCGCCTCGCCGCCCCTGGTGGGCAGGGCCGTCACCACCAGCCTGTCGCTGTCGTCCAGCTGCAGCATGGGGGGCCGCGCCGACGCGCAGTGGTTCAGGAGGTCCACCACAGGGACTGCGCGGGGGTCAGGGGGGGTGGGGGCAGGGGTGCACGTGAGAGGATGCCCGAGGCTTGAAAGCCAGGGTTACGCAGGCAACGATCAAGGCGCGGTGCCGAGGGTCCACGCAAGGCGGTCCCATCGAAGCGAAACAATGCAGGGGACCCTGCTGTACGCACGCGCGCAGCATGCCGCGCGAGGCGTGAGTCATTGCAGCCGCGAGCCCCTGAGCCCTGAGTGCGACCACGCGCACTCACCCAGGCCGCTGCTTCCCGCAGTGCCCAGCGACCGCGACTGGACATGTGCCAACGCCCAGGTGAGCAGGGGCGGGGTCAGCCACGACCCGCAGGTGTCGCCGCCCGAGCCGGATGTGCTGCCGGCTGTGCGGCTGCCCAGGTGGCGCGCCGCGTCCGCTGCAGCAGCTGCATCAGCGAGCGCGAGGCACGCGCGTGTCACCTCCTCCTCTACCTCTGATCGCCGCGCCTTGGCTGCCGCCACCCACTCTGATTCAGTACAGCCGCCCTCGCCGCCCCCACCACCGCGCCCCGCGATCGCCGCTGCCGCCGCCGCTGCGAGCGCCTCCCGCGGCAGCAGCCAGGGCGCAGGCGGCTCCTCTGGGAGTGAGGCTATGTAGGGGGCCCAGCGGGAGGCGGCCCCGAGCGCCTTCTCGTACGCCAGGGCAACTGCGACGAGCGCCGCGCTGCTCATGCCGGCTGCCGCGTCAGCTGCCGCAGCGGGCCCCATCCAGCTCTCCAGGAGTTTGAGGGCGGCGGTGTTCTCGAGGTGCAGGTCCTTAGGGACCACCTGGAAGGATTGGGGACAGCCAAGGGCGGCAGATGCAAGGCACTGAAGGTGCGGGAGGGTGGCGGGTGGCACGTGTCCTGGCGAGGTGTGGAGTGGCGGCCTGACAGCTCGGCTCATCGCAGCGTGTATTATGGGTTTTGAAGGTGATGTTGGTCACCAGTAACCCAGGAATCACCGTGACCCTGGATTTTGCGCGATATTGATCCAGGTTACCGTGCCTTCCAGCCCGGCATCAACCCACCACCAGAGGACCGTGGCCCGCCAGCTCCTCGAGGGGGATGGTCTCAGCAGCCACCACGCCGCGGCAGCCGCACGGCGCCCTGTCGACCAGGCGGAGCCCCGGGTGCAGGAAGCCGCCCTCACGTGCCAGCCACTCGCGCAGCGGCTGCTCGGGGCCGAAGGTATGGGATGTTGCGGCGGCGGTGGGGTTGCAGCGCAACCGGCGGCCATGTCGTGCCCGTGCGAGTGTTGCAGAGGCCGGCACCACGCCTGTGGCCGCGAATGTTAGCCCATTGACCTTCAAGCTCATGTCAAAATGCATACTACAGCAGCCACACGGTTTGTGACGGGGCCCGGCGGTGTGTCGGGTGTGCGAGCGCGATCTGGTATGCTGCTGTGTACCGTACAGCATTCGTGACGGAAGCATGCTAACTGACGTCTTCAGGCAGGGTGAGACAACATATATACGTATGCACCACAACATTTTGCTGCTGTACTCACTTCCTGGACCAACCGATCTCTGACCGACTGTGCTGCAGCTGGCAGCTCTCGGTTCACAAGTCCAGCTTCTATGCTTGAAACAGACGTCAGAGGACTAGCGCAGCGGCGGTGCCAGGCACAAGCGGCGCCGCTGCAGCGCCCCCGCTGTGCTTGGCCTCCCGCCGTGCGCGGCCATCCCTTCCGGCGCAGCGTGACCGGCGCTCGGACGCTTCGGCGATCATGGCAAGGGGAAAGCGGCAGCAGCAGGAGCAGCAGCAGCAGCAGCAGCGGGGGCTTTTGGGACCGCGACCGAACCGAAGGCGACAGCGGAGGCAGTCACGGCACCGGCGACGGCGAAGAACACCCTCCGCAAAGCGCCAGCAGTAGCGACGGCGGCTGGTATGGTAGCCGCAGTGGCAGGGTGAGCCCTCAGCAGCAGCAGCCCTACAGCAGCTACGGGACCTCGTCCCCTGGCGTAAGTGGAGGCGGCAGCGACGACAGCGCCACCGGCGGCAGCAGCAGCAGCAGCAGCAGCAGCAGCGGTGGCGGCTTAACCGGCTTCCTCCAGGCGCTGCCCAGCTTCTCAAGGAGCGGCCCCGAAGCCGCCGGCGCAGGCTCGCCTCTCGGCTCAATGCTTGCCCGCCGCCTTGCCAGCGGCGCCGGCGGTGGCAGCTGGGGCGGCGGCCGCACGTACGGCCCGAGGGGCAACCCCGGCCGGGGCCCCCCGCCCGTACGGGCTGCGGGCTCGGGCTACCCGGGGCTGCCCTCGGCAGCTGCCCCGCAGGACGGCGGCACGGTGTCTCCCTGGGTCGTGGCTGCGCTGGCGCCCCTCTGCGTGTGGACTCTGACCTGGGGCCTCACCAGCGGCCTGGCACACCTGGCAGACGCGTGCATGGGCGGCATGTGCGGCGTCGCGCGGCTGCTATTCCCCGTGATCACCGTCAGGTGGGCGCGGCCAAGCAGCACGCCCGGCGTGCTGCAGAGCGCAGCGGGGGCCTGGCGCGAGGGTCCGGGCCGCTAGCAGGGCCGCGGCACGCTTGGGCCCAGCTGCAAGCGCAGCCATCTACGACGCGCGCGCACGCCTGCCTCCCCGCATCCCCCCCCTTGCCGGCCACCCCTGTACGCGCCTCGACACACCTGGCCTCCCCGTGGTGCGGAACCCCCACCCCCCCCCCTTCAAACCAGGGGAGTGGGCCACGAGGATGTGGCGGTCAGCCTGGTCAAGGGCCTGCAGGCCGGCACTGCCGACTCAGCCACCTGGTCGAGGCCCGGTGGGTCGACTTTGCCGCGCACGCCGCGGCCACGAGTTCGACCTGGGACGCACAGCTAGGCGTAGGCCTCGCCGGTTGACGTGCGGCGTGCGGCAGCTTGGACCATGCCCTTGGCGGTGCTACAGAATTTTCAATCAGGGTTTTCCACTGCCTACCTTACAATTCCTCACACACATACACACTCACCCCCCATGTACCCCCACACCCACATCCACACATCAACGCCATACTAGGCTTGTGGATCCCAGCGTGGGCGCTGCAGGCCCTGATGCGGCTGATGCTGGGGACTGCGGTGGCGGGGACAAGCGTGTCGGCGGCCCTGTCACAGGGTGAGCAGGACACGACACTGAGGCCCCGTTTCGCATGAAGGCCCAATCGCAGAGCATCACAGCTGTTGAACAGGCCGCTGGACGATGCGTGGGTTTGTCTGCATGACTTGGGGACCCTTTCCTCCGCCTGGAGCATCACCAGAAATCCCGCCAGCACCAACGGGCCCGCAAAACTCCTCCACCTCGCTCTTGCACCACGCGTGTGCGTGCGCAGCCGCTCCCTGGATGGCGGCCTGCGGGCTGTCTCAGGCGCTGCTGTTTGCGCTGTGCTTGCTGATCACACTGCCGGTCGGCTCCGGGCTGCAGTCGCTGGTGCAGCGGGCGGATGCTAGCGGGGAGGATCGCAGGTGGGCCGAGCAGGGCGTAGCAATGGTGATGCTGCAGGCCTCACTGGAATTGAGGATGTCACCGCGGGGGTGGGGGCTTCACCTGACACTGGTGTGGGTTTTGATAGCGATGCGGCCGGTGGCACACGCGGCATAGCATGTGCTGCCATGGCACTGATCAGGTGTCAGGGAGCCAACAGACTCACGCCCCAACCCTTGCCTTTGCACAGCAGTGAAGAACACACGGACTACGGCGGCAGCAGCAGCAGCAGCAGCGGCGGCGGCGGCGGCGGCGGCAGCAGCAGCAGCAGCGCCCTAGCCTTCAAGCTCGCCGCCGCGCTGGCCTGGCCCTGCATGAGCGCCGCCTCTGTCGGTGGCGCCCTCGCCGCCAAGGCCTCCGCTGCACCCTCCTTTGGCATCGCCGTCGGCCGCGCCACCGCGGCGGCCGCGAGCGTGGCACTGCTGCTGACGCTCGGCCTCGCCGCGGCGCGCTTCGCGCGAGAGGTGGGGCGCGGCGAGGCGGGCGACGCCGCGGTGGTCGACTTTGGGGCCCGGGCCGGCCTGCTGTGCGGGGCGCAGGCGGCCGTCAACGGGCTGCAGCTGGCGCTGGGCCTGCTGGGGGGCGGCCTGTCGGTGCGCGACGTGGCGGGTGCGGTCGTGTCGAGCGCGGTGCTGCTGCGGCTGGCCTACACTGCGTGGCTCCTGCAGGGGGAGGCGCGGCCGTCGGCCTGGCTTCGCATGATGTCGTTGGAAGCGCTGCTGGCGCGCGCGTCCTGAGGCGGCCCGCGGCAATTTGCATCTTTGAATGCAGCTGGGCGCGGGGCGTGCTCACATTTTTGCCGAGTTGGCGCATTGTCCTGGCGCGAAATCGCTCAGGAGGAGCGCTGCAGAAGCGCTGCTGCATCAGAAGCTCAAACAGCGGGACGTGCGCGTTGCGCACCTGGCGGTCGCGAATGCATGTGGCAGGGCGGGTCGGCGCCACGCCACATTGTCGCTGCGCGCGACACACACTCTTGTCACAAGTTGTGCTACATTTTTGGTGCAGAGCACTATGCACCTGGTTGCATCAGACACACCCTTTTGTAGTTGAGAGTAATCACCAACTTGGCTCACAATCCACACATCCATCGGCCCCATGGTGTGCTGCCGTGGACGCCCGTGTCGGTTTTGTCTTGGTGCCTTGGCATGCGGGTGCACCGCCGCAGCGGCCGTCGCTGGTGGTGGTGTTTTTGTTGCATTTGCACATACAGGCTGTGCAGCAGGAGTGAGTGTGGGGGGAGGGAGGGTGCGTGTATGTATGTGTAGGGGGGCATACGCAGATGACAGCGCGGCGACTGGAGTGCGGCATCTGAGTTCCCCGAGACCTGGTGTGAGATCGGCTGTGGAGGCGTATTCGGCGACGCTGCGCAGCAGTCAGGTGGCAAAGGGCGGGTGAGAAAAGCTTGTGTGACCGACACACGTGCTGCATGCGATTACAACGGCACACTCTGCTGGCTGCCAACCTGCAACCTTTTGGGTGACTTTGTTCTGCATTGCCTTGAGCTAATGTATCCATCCGCCTTGTACTAATTGTTAGCGCCCCATATCCCCTACACATCAAGCACGCTGCGCACATGATGCCCTCGCGTTAGACATTTTGCGTATGGCGTTGTGTAAGATGACATCACCTCCCAGCAGACCTTAAACCCTAAGACGTTGCCTCTCAAGGCCCGCCCTAGGCGTTTGTAATCAGGGCCGAACTGCAAGATTACAAGTGTCGTAATCAAGTGGACAGCACTTGTGCTGCTTGCCGTGCTGAGCGGAACAAATACGCTGCTGCATGCAGTGCCCCCAGGCCCCCAAGAAATTGCCCCGCCCGGTCGTTGCCGCAAGTGTGTAGTGCGGGGAACACCCCGTGATGCCGCTGTCTAAGATCAAACACTGGGCCCGAAATGAAAAGTGGGTGGGATGCGGCGTGCAGACTTGGGGGTGCTGCGCGGCGCCAAGGGGGCATTGCAGTTTTTGACTCTCAAAGCTGCATTACATGGATTTGGCGGGGTTAGGGGGGGGGGTGTCCCCGGCGCCCAGTCCTAGCTGCCGACATCCCCAGTAGTGGAGAGGGTGGCGCTTGAGACCGCAGCAAAGCGGAGGTGTGCTTCGCATTGGGTGCTGATCACAGGGTTGAGTGCGAGGCGCAGGATCGCCAGAAGGTTGCTCAGCGGCTGCCAGCCGCAGGTCTTCGCGGGCAGCGCACACCTCACACTGAAATCACTAGCGCAGGGTAGCCGCTGGGGCGTCGAAGCCGCGCCCTGGCGGGCAGCTGCTCAAGCCATGGCCCCGCACCTGCCCCACCCAGCACCCCACAGCCCGCTACTGCGTCCCGACAGACATGGGGCTGCCGCCGCCGCCGACCGCGAGCGCCTTCTTCCCAAACACGCGCGCGCGCCCGAGGCACGCGGCCAGCTTCGCCACGCCCTCCGCAATTTCGGGCGAGTCCGGCGCCACCTCCTTCGGCATGTCCGGGAAGCAGCGCGGCAGGTTGGCGGCGCTGGCGCCGACGGTTGTGTGCAGGCCGAGCGTGGCGCGGCAGAGCACGAAGCGCAGGATCTGGCGGCGCAGCAGGGCGTCGCGGAAGAGAGGGGCCCAGGGGGAGCGCGCGGAGGGGCCGGCGGGGGCCTGGAAGGCGCGCAGCAGCAGCGCCCCCCACTGCGCCAGGATCTGGCCCATGGTTGCCTGGGGGGTGGGGGTACATGTTTGGGGGGGGGTGCGCAGGGAGGGGCGTTGATGGGGGCATATAAGCGAGGCTTGGAGCCATAGGCGTTGGACCAGGTGCGTCTGTGACACCTGGCGCGTGCAAAGCGACGTGGATAGTGCAAATTTGTGTCATCGCACCCAGCTCTGACGTGTTGTTTAAACCCTTAGCGTACTGGGCGTGAGGGCGTGACAGCCAGGCTCCCCTCGGCCCTGGCCCCCACCTGCAGGTCCACCAGCTGCTGCACTGAGGGGTCTGTGTTGCCGGCCGCCAGGCAGAATGCGGAGAGGGGCCCCGACAGGAACAGCGTCAGCAGGCCGCCGGTCTTGGTGACATCACCCAGCTCGGGGGGGCGCGCTGAGGGGCTCATGAGGCAGAAGACAGCGCGAGAGACCTCCAGGCCCTTTGGGGGTTGCGGGCGAGACAGGAGAGCACGGGTGCAGGGCGAGGAGGGGGACGAGGTTGTGCTGGAGGCGGCTGAGAGTCAATTCTGCACCCAAGCAGACAAACACGTGCGGGCGCGCGCACACTCTCTCTCTCTCTCTCTCTCTCTCTCTCTCTCTCTCTCTCTCTCTCTCTCTCTCAAAACCAAAGGCGAGCAGACAAAAAAGATAATTCACAAAAGTACACACAGCGCAGGTCACAGCTGCGCACCTGCAGCCGTGTGAAGCTGCGGGCGTTGTCACCGTCCACCACCAGGAACAGGGTGCGGCGCGTCAGGTGGGCCAGGTCCTCCGGGCTCAGGTAGGCGTCAGCAGAGTCCTGCTCTCACGCCAAGGGGGACAAGGGGTGTGTTGTGAGCCAGAGGGTACTGTGGTGTAAACAATTGTGGGCGCCCCCGGCGCTGCGCTTGCACCGCGGCGGCAGTGCCGAGGCTGCAAGGACAGGGCGTCTGCAGAGCGGAGTCGGCGAGGGACGACCTCGTGCCGAATGCACGAGTCACCACGAGCCTCCAAGCAGGAGCCAGCATAACCCATTTCAACCGCCGCAGACTGCTGCCGACACGATGCCCTGGCGCCGCCCTGCACACGCAGCAACATGCTTGATCGAAAACCCTGCTGCCTGACTGCCCCCACCGGCAGCCTCACCAGCGCCTTAGACGGTCCAAGGTTGAGCCCCGCCTCCGTTCCGGCATTAGACACGGTCAGCGCCCCTATGCTCAGCCCGCTGACGTCACTCATGCTGTCCGGCTGCGACGCGCCCTCCGGGTCGGCAGCCGCCCCCGCCGCCGCTGCCGCCGCCCCGTCCGCCGCCACCAAGTTGCTGGTGCTGGCAAAGGCGCCGCCGCCCTTGAGCTCCCCGCGGCCGCTGGAGGCTGAGAGGTGCAGCAGCAGCACGCCGTCGCGCGGCAGCACCTCCATGGTGGTCGTCAGTATGGACAGCAGATGCAGCACGGAGGGGCGGTACACCAGGTGCTTTGAAGGGTTCTCGTACAGAGAGGGCGCCCCGCCCGGGCCAACGCCCGCGGCCGCGCTGCCACCGCCGCCCGTGCTGCCGCCGCTCGCGCCCACCAGGCTGGCCGGCCCGGAGGAGCTCGCATCGCCGCCACTGCCGCCGCCGCCGCCGCCGCCCTCCCCGCCGCCGCCGCCGCCGCCGCCGCCGCCGCCGCTGCTCTCCGCCAGCCGCCGCGTTGACTTCCTTGCTAACTGAGCCCTTGGCCGCCGCGACCACTGCGGCCGCCGCGACCGACGCCGTCGCGGCCTTTTCCCGGCCTGCTGCGCCGCCGCCGCCGGCGATTGGCATGGGGTGCTCCCCCGGTGGGGGCGCGCTGCCGCTGTAGGCGTCCTCCCACTCCAGTGCCTGCAGCATGCGGAAGCTGTCCAGCGGCAGCTCCGCAATCTTGACCTGCCAGGCGGTGCAGCCAGGGGTTGGTATTCTTCATGTCGGCTCCCAGGACCAGTGAGTGGCAGTGTCACACTTCTTGGCTTATCGCGTCACACGCCGTGGCTTACTCCCAAAAGCTGTGCAAGACAGAGCGTCCCTGTTCTGGCGCCTCAAGACAAGAGAGACAAGAGGCATGCAGAGCGGCTATGTGCACTTCGTGTACAAATGAAACTTTCAAGATTTGTCGAAACATGAAGTGCTGTCCGCAGCCTGCGCAACAGCGCGGCCGCGCCCGCACCTGCCGCGGGTAGTAGCTGGCCAGAACTGCGTGCAGCAGCATCGGCCGGTGTGGCGCCAGCTTCACCTCGGGCGCGCTGAGGCCGCAGCGCAGGCTCACGCGGAATGGCAGCGCCGCGCCGGGCGAGCGCGGCATGGGCATGGCCACGTCAGCGTTGAGGAAGGTGGTGACCTCCTGGGAAAGGAAGGTCATCATCGATGGGGATTTAGAGGGGGAGAGAGGTCATGTATGTGTCTGTGTGTGTGTGTGTGTGTGTGTGTGTGTGTGTGTGTGTGTGTGTGTTTTTGTGCGTCAAGCAGGGCAGCACTCAGCAAGGGTACATCCAATGCTGCTGAGGGTTGGCAGCAGGCTGCAGCAGGGTGCCGGGCATGGGTGATTGACGAGGAGGCAAGGGGTGAGAAAGGACGGGACGCTGGCTCCCGCGCTGACCGCACCTGTATGACCCCACGCCACTCGTTCGCGTCCGGTGGTGAGTACTTGAGTATGTAGGATGATATGAGGGCCTGGAACTCCTGCAGCAACTGCCAAACCTCCTCGCGCCTGCTGAGCAGCAGGCAGATGATGATGAAGCGCGCAAAGTATCGCAGCTGCTTGATCGCTAGGCTGGCGTCGGTGGCCGACTGCAGGTGTAAGGGGGGACCACAAGGCAAGAAGATTTGTCAGATGGCAGCAGAGAGCATGTTTTGGGCTAAATGTAATGAGCGCACAATCGTCTCAGGGGTTTGCACGAACAAAATCCTGCAGCCCTGCCAAGGCGACCCCGCCGCCCGTCGCGCCGCCCCACACCCTGCCCGGCTCGCCTGAGCAAAGTATGACCGTGAGCGTATGGCCTCGTAGAAGACGTACGACTCGTGGAGGAAGCGTATCTCGCTGGTGCGCAGGTAGTAGTTGTAGTAGAGCTGCCCTATCTTTGAGGCGATGTCGCCGATCTCCCAGCGCTCCATGCCGCGGCTCATGAGCAGCTCCCTGGCGGGGTTGCAGCAGGGGCCCCAGCGGCGGTTGGGGCGCGCAGTGCAGCGTGCGGGCCATGGCGGGGTGGGCAGCATGGTCTGGGTCCCGCATGGCCGCAGCTGCTACTGCTTGAGCCTCTGGCCGGCACAGCGGCCACTGGTGCTGTCAACAGTCCTCAACCTGCCAACCTCCGCCAACGAGTACCCTCCATGTATGTACCCTCCACCAAGCCACGGCCTTTTCTCGTCTTCAGCCACAGGCCCCGCTTCCTCGTGAATGCAGCAACACCTTGACCGCCTCATCGAGGACGATTGCAGTAACATCACGCCCGCATGCCTGCTGCAATCCTGCGCACGCCGGCACCTGCCGTGCCCTGTGCGCGGCTGCCCACCCCCTGAGCGCGCAGAGGGCGGCGCCCACCTGTTCTCCTGCTGAAACTTCCAGAGCTTCGAGTAGACATGGAAGGCCTTCTGGAAGTGGCGCTCCCACTGGCTGTTGCCATACGGGGGCAGGTCCCGCAGCTTGTTGAAGCTCTTTTGGCTCTTGTCCAGCAGGGCCTCGAAAGCCCGGAACACCTCGCGCGAGCCCATGGCGCAGGACGCTCCGCCGCGGCTGCTGCCGCGGCCGCCTCGCCCGCGGGCGCCCGCTGGCCCGGCCCCTGTGCCGGCTGCCCGCTGCTGTCGAGCGCGTGCGAGCGATCAGTAGTCCTGCGGCCGCAACCCTCCGGGGTGGACTGGGTGGTTGAGTGAGTAGGACGGTCCTGCGGGATGGCGGCCAGAACAAGGCGCGAGAGTTGAGATGTAGTCAGGCATCCGCCACGTTGCTGGGCCGCTATCCACCCCCTTGGAGCGCAATTAAGGCAAGCAGCAAGCACCAACCCAGCCTGCCCACTCCTCGGGTACCAGGGCGCTGCCGCCGCCGCTGCATAGCACGCAGCAAGCTGGCGGGAGCTGCGACTGCATTCAGTATGCACGACACACACCCGGCACAAATCCAAAGAAATGCTATCGCTTGGCTGCATGCCCCGCTGCTTCACAGAGCATTGGCGCAGTGCTGCACGGCCTGTGCTGCACTGCACTGCCTTTGCTGCCAACCAGTGCCCCCTTCCTGCAGGCCGCCCCACGGCGGCCCACGTTCAGTATCAACGTTATGCGTCATGGAACACGTCTCACCTCTACCTGAGCCTCAAATCGCCCTGGCCGGGAGTGCACTGCCCCAACGGCCAACTTAGGTTTGCCCTGCCATGCGCCAGCAGCCAGGTTTTGTTCACAGACTCCCCACGACAACAATGGTTTGTGTCGCCTTCAAAAATCGTACGTTACTTTGGACGCCCGATCTCTGGCAGTCATGTCAAACGGGTGCGCGACGGTGCGCTGAGCCGAGGCTGGCTAACACGGTTTTACCAGAGTGACGAGTGCTGAACACTCAATAAGCTGGCATTCAATGTGTGGTCACCCACTCGACACCCACGCACGAGTGCACACACATGATGCGCCACCTGCCAGTTCTACCAGGGCGCTCCCTTCCGGTTCGATGTACCGGCACGTGCAGCTTGCCTAGCCCTGTATAGTATACTGAAGTGCACACCTACCACGTGCTGCCTCGCCGCAAGTGCATTGGTCTGGTGGCGGACTTCAAAGGCATCCCAGGCCCCACCCCCAGATTGCGCACCAGGGGCAGGCTCGACAGAGCCGGGGTATCAGCACAGCCTGCCGCATCGCACACATACTGCTTTTGCTGCTCATGATCGAAATCAAACGTCCTGCATCTTGCAGTTGACACGCCTCACCTGGCCAGCCACGCTGTACCGGCTGCCTCGTACCCCCTCAGCGGCCAAGTCGCCCGCTCGGCGGTGGCCACCTGGTGTGGAGGCTGTGAAAGCTATGCAACGGCATTTGCATGCTAGAGCACACTCTGGGAAGGGCAAAGGAGGGTTGCCTTGCAGCCGCAATTTTTCGAGCGGCCGATACCGTGATACAGGACGGTGATACAGGACGAGTGCAGCCGCTCGGCCAGCAACAGCGCATCGACACGCGCCGGGCTGGCATTCGGTGGCTCAAAGGGGACGCAGCCCACCCACCCCACGATTTGTGCTCGACAAAGATTGTCAGTTGTGACGCAGAAAGTTGAAGAAACACCATGGACGACGATGGCAGCGACCAAGATCAGCCCCCGCAGCATGGACTCGAGGATGACGCCCTGGAGCACGTTTTCAAGGCCCTGAACTGGTACGTGCATGAAATCTTCAGGTATCAAGCGCCCAATTGCACCTATACGAACAGCACAGGGGGTCAGTTGAAGACCTCTGGCCCAGTGCACACAGGCCCGGCGGCGCCTGCAGCTTTGCGGCCGCAGCCCTACCTCTCAAATACATAAGCCTCCCCTTACGCCCCCCCCCTAAACACACATATCCTGACCACCGCCCTCTGCAGCGCCGACCTGTGCCACTGCAGCTGCGTATCCCGCGCGTGGCGTGATGTGGCAGGGCGGGACGCGCTGTGGCTCGGCCAGCTGCCCCGGGAGATGCACCGCCCGCCGCGGCTCCCGCCGCCGCGCGCAGCGCGCCGCGCAGCGGCCGCAGGCGCGGGGCGCGCCGTGTTTGACTACTGCATGGCAGAGCCGGCCCTGCGGCACCGCGCATGGCAGGCACGGTTCCACTCTGCAATGGCGCAGCTCGGCCCATGGCGCGCCCTCGTCATCCTCCGCGCCGCCCCTGCCCCCGCCGCCCCTGAGGCGCCAGCGGCAGGGCGCACGGCGGAGCCCGTGGCGCGCGCGTGGGTGTGCCGCGCCGTCGGCCTGCAGCACCACGAGCAGAGCGCATGGGTGCGCTTCCCGCTGCCGCCCGCACTGGCGGAGGACGCCGGCGTCGTCGCCGGCTGCCAGGAGGGGCGCCTGGTGAGGCCGCAGCGCGCAGCTGGTGCTGCGCAAGCTCCAGTGACATCTGGGTCCGTGTAGCTTGGGGCGGCCAACTTCGATCGAATTACGAGACGCGAAAAGCAGTGGTAAGGGGCGCTGCTGCAGCCGCTAGCTGCCAGCAACGTTACCACGAGCCGCCCGCCGCCCGCCCGCACGCCGCCGCGCCATCTGCTGCTGCAGGAGGTGCGTGTCGAGGCGATGGCCCCTGGCGGCACGTGGCTGCCCCTCATAGTCAGCTCGCCGTTCAGGTGCGAGAGGGGGGGGTCGATGTGGGAGAGTGGCCCCCCCCTGGGCGCGCGGCAGGGCAAGGCTCGGATTGTCTGGGGCGACGAGGTGGGGCAGGGCGGCAGGCAGTGCACCGCCATAGGAGGCGCGAGGGCAGGACCGCCGCAGAGGGTGGCGGCTGCCGTGCTTGAAACCACCTGGACATGTCCGGTGAATGGTACGCTGCCAGGCGGCTCCCGACATTGGGGCCGGTTTTTTTTCGTTGCTCCGCCGCTTTAAGTCGCGGCAAGCTTTCCTGGCAGCCGTCACACAAGTGCGCATCGCGTGCACAATTAAATAGCCAAAACGCTTCATGTGCACCCCTGCAACCCTGGACTTTCGTCTCCATCGACAGGCTGCACCTGGCGGATGACCGGGCGATGCTGCTGCAGAGCCACAGGGAGGGGCTCTACGCCTGGGACGCAGATGAGGGCGGCGGCGGCGGCGCGGGCGGCGCGGGCGGCGTGCCACAGCACGCGCCGGAGGGCCCGCAGCAGCAGGGACAGCAGCCGCCGGCGGGCGGGCCGCAGCCGGCGAACGCAGGCCGCGAGCCGCCCGCGTGGTTCGAGCTTGCGGCCCCCTTTGCCGCCGCGCTGGCGTCGGCTGGCGCCGGGGGCAGCAACGGCAGCACGCCCGCAGGGGTGGCGGCGCCAGAATGCGGCCCCCTGGAGCGATCCGCCCAGGTTGCGCCTGCAGCCGCGGCGGCGGCGGGTGCGGTGGCGGAGGAGGGTGTGGCGGCGCCCCCCGCGCGCGACCTGCGTATGGTGGCCTACGTTCACTATGAGCAGCTGCTGCCTGCGGTACAGGGGCGGCTGGCGCTGCCGCAGGTGAGGGTGTGAGGAGGGGGGCGCGGCGCTGCAGTGTAGTTGCTTGTGAGGCAACGTTGACTGCCGCGACAGGCACGGGCAGCAAGGGGCGAGAGGGTGAGCCGCTGGGACTCGAGTGAGGCCGAGCCCGTCGCCAGTGAAATCATCGGCGGCGTTTGCCACAGCCGCATGGAAGGGGGTCCCCCTCCGTTCTCGTGCTGTGGCGCCCTGATAGACCCTTCACTCTCAGCCCATGCCCCTGCTGACATGGCACAGGCCAAATACTCTCGTGGCAATGCATTCAGCCAGCTGCCCTGCCATCAATCCCCGCCCCATTGTGCCCCTCTCGCCCGCTTGCCCTGTCCCGAGGCGTTCCCCCTCTTGCCGCGCGCCGCGCCGCCGCCGTCAACGCCGCCCGCCGCCAACGGCGCCGCGTCCGAGCCGCCCGGCAGCGGCCGGCCCCCGGAGCCTCCGATGCTGCTGCTCCAGCTCGACTTCTGCCGGCTGCGCGGCTCACAGGGTCTGGGCCGCGTCACGGCGCGGCTCAGGCGCCGGCGGTGGGGCGTGGCGGCGGTCCAGTTTGAGGCGTTGGTGGAGGGTGATGTGGACGTCGTGGCTTACGGCGGGGCCGGGGAGGAGGGCGGCGGAGGGGCGGGCGATGGCGGGGCAGGGCAGGGCGGCAGTGGGGAGTTGCTGGAATGGGGCCCGGGGGAGGAGGATTGCAGCGACAGCGGGGATTCTGGGGGCGGCGCAGATGGGGAGGACGCTGGAGGCGCCCCCGACGGCGAGGCCCAGCAGAGTCAAGTCTCGGACCCGTCCGCGGCCGACGGCGACGGCGGCGGCGGGGCGGCGCGCGCTGCTGTGGCTGGTGCGGCGGGGCGCGAGCTGCTCGAGTCGATGGTGTCGGGTGATGAGGTGATGGCTGACCTGGCGCTGTTTGACGACACGGGGAGGCTGCTGCTTGGCAGGTGGGCTTAGTGTGTGCTTGGGGGTCGACAGGAGGCGTCTGGAGTTGACCAAACTGAGGAATGGGTTGAATCGCTTGGACTGGTGGCGACGGTGCGCCAAGCCGGCCCGCACAGCATCACAAGGCGGCTTAGGCGGCTGAGCAGACTTGCTGCCTGCCCTGCGAACGCACATGTTGTGGTGGTGGTACAATGCTGTGAGATTGTGTCTTCAAGTTAATGTGTGCGATTCTGCATGCGTGCGCGCACGCGTGCGTGTGCATGCTTGCATGCATGCGCTCGCGCTCTCATACTCTCGACACTCTTCCCATGGCCCCGACATCCCCCCACCTCCAGGGCCGGCGTTGAGATGTGGCAAAAGGAGGGCACCTCACTTCTGCCTGCAGCCAACGGCGCCGGCGGTGCTGACGTGGTGGCTGTGCACCGGCAGCTGCACCTGCTGCACTTCCTGGTGGACGGCCTTGGTGGGTGACGGCGGTCACGTTCCGGTTGCTGTCATGATTATGACATTGACTCTGATTTGAAGTTTGACTGATGCTTTGGTTGTGCTGATGGTAGCAGACCTCCTCTGCATCTCGAGGTGGTGCTGATCTATTTTGTGCTGCAGTGCTGACCTTGGCCATGACTCGACCCCTGTTTCCCCCCCCTGCATGGCCCGCCCTGCTGGCCAACCTGCTGTTGAGCTCTGTGTTGGCCCACGTGCGCCCACACATGTGCGATAGCCCACCCCCCTCCTGCCTCCAGGTGACGAGGAGCTGTGGGACTGCTGCCTCACGCTGGACCCCGCGCCGGAGCACCAGGGCGGCGGCCGCATCACGCTGAGGCTGTCGTGGCGCGCGCTGGTCGGGCTGCACCCCCAGCCGGGGATCGCCGCAGGTGACGGCGGCGGCTAGCAGAGGCAGCAGACGAGGTCTTCTGTGCATCGTACACTCGTGTTTCACTCAGTAGCAGCCAACCAGTCATTTGTCCGCGGTGTATTCACGATCAGAAGATTGTTTGGCCATTGTTTCATACACTCACAATGCAATGTGAATTCCAGGCAGTATGCATGGCAGCCATCAGAGTGCAGCCACCAGTTGGCGTGCAGGCAGCGTGCCTGACCACCCTTGAGCCTTCCTGCGCCGCTGCCGACCGCCGCGTGATCTCTGTCAAACGCCAACCGTTTTCCTCAACTGCGCAGCGTACCTGTTGCAGCCGGGCTAATCAGCAAGCGCTTTGACTACTCTTGGCTCCACAGTAGCCAGAGTGGCGGCACAAGTGCGGCGCTGGTGTTTGGTTTGGTGACGGCAACTCTTTTGGGACAGGCGAGCTATTTGCTCGAGGAATTCACCAAGACCCACCTGTCGTTTCGACCACGCGTGCACTTGACGCAGGGCAGTGGTGACCACGGCGTTAGTGCATGCGGCTGCCAGAAAGGTGTGGCGCCGGACACGCACCACAGCAGTGTCGCATCTGCTTTCTACCCCCGCTGTCAACCCAATAGCTGCAGCTACTGGAGCGGGGTCAGCAAGCTCCGCGCTTCCAAGAAAGTGTAACAGGACAGTGGCCTGTGTGAACGCCGCGCACGTGCAGGCAACATCAGCGACCACGGCAAGCCGATGTCAGCCGCCTGGTGATTGACTAGATTGACAAGGGTCAAAGGACCCTGACAGTTGACCAGGGGTACACAGCAGGTGGGTCCACCAAGTCGAGACTCACACCAGGCGCCGCCGCCGCCACCGCCGCCGCGACGCGCTCCCGCGGCCCGCCCTCCGCCGCTGCGAGCGCGAGCCGCCGCAGGCTCGGCGACAGGGCGGCGGCGGCGGCGGCGCTCGCGCTGGGCTGCCAGGAGACCAGGTTGAGGTCCTCCAGCCGGGGGCAGCGGCGCGATATGGCCACCAATGTCCTGTCCTCCGCGTCCTCCCACCCCCGGCCAGCAGGACTGTCGTCCGCACGACAATGCCCATCCCCACCGCTGACGTCATCGCCGTCATCGCCACCATCGCTCAACGCCGACCTCAGTGGCTCGCCCTCTTCCTCCTCCTCGTCGTCGCCCATCGACGGCAGCGCGAGCCGCGCAAGTGCGGGCAAGGGGGCCCCGCCAGCGTCGCAGCGCACCCATGTCACACCAGAGTCGCTGAACTTGAGGCAGTCCAGCTCTTCCAGCGACCCCGGCAGCCAGCCAAAGTCCAGCAGCGGCACTGCCAGGCTGGCGCAGCGCAGGCGCGCCAGGCGGCGCAGCCAGGACAGGTCGGCGTCCGACGGCTGCAGGGCCGACGGCGGCCGGGGCGGCGGCGGCGGCGGCGGCGGGATGGGGGCAGGTGAGCCCCACCCGGCGCTGGCGCCACCGCCGGCTCCACTGTCCTGCAGCTGTGGCGTGCTGTTGGCCTGGCCGCCGTTGCCGACGCCAGCGGCGCCCTCGAGCCACAGCCGTCGCAGGCGGTCGGCCAGGCTGTCGGCGGGCCCCTCCGCGTAGCCT